ACTACAAATGGAGATGGGTAATGAAGCCTCTTGCTAACTGTCAACATTAAATGACGAACTTTCTCTGATCAAAATAGTTTATCAATGACTCCTCATTACCATGGATTTCTACATTAAAGCCTTCATTTCTATTGAGAAATTGGGCAAAGTCAGCACTATATCATGCATCTTACATTGTATTATTTTCCATCAAGATCTTTTACAAACTCTTGGAAGAAAGACCGTGTGGCTAAGTTATTGAAATAATCGACCAATTATTTCCAATTCTTTGTCTTTTCCAATCCAAGATGCCTTGAGCCATCCTAACTTAATCAGAAACTCTTTTTCTATTATGTAGTCATTGGAAAATGGCACAAAATGAGAAACAACGTCTTATTGGAGAGGGCAAACGTATAACTTAACAAAAATGGGGGTAAAAGACCTTTCTCAAACTCTTCTAATTTCCATATTTCACTATCTAAGATATATTGCCACTCTTCTCTAGTTCTTTTGAAATGCAAAAAACTGCCCATGGTCTTTGCAGCAAGAGGCAATCCTTGCACTTGCTTGTAATTTTCCTACCAATGTCTTCTAGTGGTTCACCCTCATTAGGAGACCTACGAAAAAAAGCGAGTCGCTTAAACAAAACCCAGCTTTCCTCTTCAGACATTGTTTTGATGTTGATGATATCGATTGATTTATCCATACATGCAACTGTCTCCTACGTGTAGTAATCAAAATTTACTTCCATGGAAACCATGTTTTAGCAATGATAAAATGGTTCACTTATTGTAATTTCTGTCCACACATCATCTAATACAAGAAGAAATTTCTTTCCTTTAATAGATTCATGAATTTCAGCATCAGAGAATTGAATTCTACTAAATTAGAAGCATTTCCTTCTAGACCTTCAATGATGGCCTTTGCAATCTATACTCATCAAAAGGATCTGATACCACACACCATATTCTTTTATTGAAATTTTTCATCACTTCATCATCATTGTAGGCAACCTGGGCAAGAGTTGTCTTGCCAATGCCTCCCACACCTACAATTGAGAGATGTGGAGGTCATTGTCGACACAACCCTCACTCAGCAATTTGCTTACTAAAGCACCCCTATCCTCAACTCGACCACATATCTCAGACTCATCAATTAAAGAAGTACTTTGTACTAGCTCTGGTTTCTCGACACTCTTAATCACATTAAAATTAAAAGTGTCTGTCGTTTCACAATATCAGTCATATTTCATTTTATTCTTCTATTCTTTACAGCAATTTCACGACGCAAACCGACTTGTTTGAAACTAAAGCAAACAGAGTGAAAGGGAAAGCACACCTTCTTAGGAACACCGTATCTTCAAATCCTCAATGTGCAGTTTGAGTATTGCAGTGTTCCACTCATCCAACACGTTTCCATATCATAGGATGTGTGCTTGAGGATCTAACCACAATCTCACAGCCATCCCTTCACTTGCCTTTGCTCGGCATCAACCAACACAGCTTGAATGACTGAAGATTGTGGTGAGCTTTTTTACTTCTTTGCTGACTCCCGCAACCAGCCTCGCCTCTTGTTGTATTTGTTCTTTTGATGAATGAAGTCCAACTGCTCCAAGACTGCGGAAACAATCGCCTCAGCCATGTTCAGAATGAGAGACAGTATTGAATGGAAAAAAGATGAGAAATTGAGAGGTATCAAATATGAGACTGAATACTTTTAATTTATAAATAACTTTCAATTCTTAATTCTTTCTTTGTGCGACAACCTACACAGTCAAGTTTGAAACGGTTTCATATCAACCACAGATCCACAATGGGGTATGCCCTCGCACACGCTGGGGAATGTGATAAATGACTAAACAATTTTCACACCCAACGTTTGGCCTAATTCATTTTCCACCCAGAAAGTTTCAGAATGACACTCCACTACCCACCGTTATGTTCCGTTGTTAGCAATTTTTGTTAAATACTGATATTAAATGTAAAGACGAAAATACCCTTTAATTTGACTTGAAATTTTTTTTAAGATTAAATCACAAATTATCCTAATTTTTTTGTCCTTCTCTTTCTTCTTCCTCTCATTTCTTCTATCTTTTCTTTCCTCTATTCTTCTCTTTACTCTCTCCATCGCACCAGACAGCTTTCTCTCTTCCCTTCTCTTCTCTTTTCTCCTTCTTTTCTTAACTCCTTTTTTTTTTTTTTTTTTCCTAATATTGATGATTGATGTATTTTCTGGCAACATTTTGAGGAAACGTTTTAAGAAAACAAATTCTGATTGCTTTTTTCTATTGTTGTTGAATACCTACATTCAGCTGATATATACTGTTTTATCCATTGGGTCTCAACTGAAGCAGAGAACCATGAAATAGAGCTTTGATTCTAGCAGATTTCATTCAATTTTAGACTGTGGTAAATAATAATAAATGGGTTAGAAAGTATGAGAAAATAGTGTCATTCGACTCATTCCTTAGTGTTGCAGCAATTAATGAACAATTGAACTTCTGATTGAGCAAAAACATAATTCTGTTTTCAGTATTTGTCAGGTTATAAGAGATCAAGCCATTGACAGTGAAAAAAGTTGAGAGCAAATTCTGAAGATTATAAAAAATCGCAAAACCACCATATATAGGAAGTTACAAGGTTTTAACGAAGTGTTGGATGACCTTAAGGTTCTTATGGAAGTTAAAGATACAGTAACTCATTTGCATGCCCTGAAAAATTGACCTCTACTTACTAATGGAGTTTCCTTAGTTTATCAATCTTCATAGCTAAAATAAGAGCAGTGTGCGCCATTCCCCTACACATAATAGGAAAAAGGTTCTTTCCAGTTTCAAAAAAAAAAAAAAAAAAAAAATCTTCAAATGCTCAATTTCAATCAGCTAAATTACATTTGTGGAGCCAACTGGTGCTAGAGCTGTTGAGTTGGGGATTTGTCTCTTGAATAATTCATCCTTTAGAAGCACACTCTGTAACATGAAAAATAAAACTATGAAAAAAAAAAAAAACATCTTTATAACGATACTCTATGTAGGAATAACCTCTATATATTAATAAACAATTATAATTCCAACTTGAGATAGCTTTAAATAAGAATAAACTTCACATTGTAATAAATTATAATATTCTTAATTCCCGTTTTAAGAAAATTGCCTCCACATAAAAATAATTATATGTATATTAAAAAAATATATATGTTATGTTACATCAAAGGTTTAAGATAAAATAAAATATTTATCTAAAGTTATTTGGTACAATGATTTGTGTTTTAAAGTTATTACCACATCTTTTAACATGTGGATATGTAATAACTCGCTAGTATGGACACATTCTTATTGAAGTCAAAATATTTCTAACTTCTTAAGCATATTTAGAGTTTCTTAACACGAAACTTTTTGTATTTCATACTATCATCCTCAGGATTATCTCATTTCTCTTCTTGTCTAATTGTAGCAATGATTACAAACAATGAATTAAAATCTTAATACATACTATTAAAAGATGAATTATAAAATAAGAAATCAAAATAACAATTTTTATAACTATACCTCTATTAAATTATAACCTTCTTATAATAATAAATTAGTTTGATGTCACCATAATCACTAAAAAGATATTTTAGTGTATATACAAAGATCTAGATTGTAATTACCTCATTTTATCCATAAGTCATAATCCTTATGATTCCAATGTGTGTTTATCAATTAATATTATATAATCTCTAACACACAACTTTGATTGGTATGTTTATTTCTTTTACCTCTCTCACCAAAGGACAAAGAAATAAACTAGGGGAGGACAGAGACAGGTAGGACCTTCTCCTACTATGGACTTAGCTTTTTTAGCATCTTTAAACACGTGAAACTTAACATTACTCTGTAGCTAAAGATCATTCTCCATTCCATTTTTTTACTTTTCGTGAATCTATAAATCACAAACTTTAACTTTTTGTTGAAGTAAAATTTACATGTCCGTTAAACAGTGGTTTCTTAATAATTCACTTATATGTTCTTTTCTTTATTTATTTGTTTTTTTTTTAATCGTGAATGTCCTAGTTAGTTTACAGGTACCTTAACTAATCCCCTCAGACCCTGAAACTACCGACTAGATAAGAGTTTCAGTAACCACTCCTATTGACACTGTATATTCCTCTTTAATGTGGAGACGGTATAAATAGGTACAATGACTACATAAGAATGAGAAAAAAAAAATCTCTTAAAAAAGGAAACAACTTATTTCAAGGAAAACTAAATATTCCTACGTTAAATATATTTAAACAAAATATTCTAGAATTACATGGTTTTGCAGAGAATTACAGAATTCAAGATGTTCTGCATGATACCCACAACATAGTTTCTGCAGACCATTTGAGAAGCTCAAGAAAAATAGTTGGTCCAAAAACTGGGGAGAATTAATGGGAAAAGTGATACCTTGCGGTGATGCTGGTTTGGGCACACGTGAAATTTTTTCAAAGCTATTCCGATTGTCTTTCCTTTTCGTACAGACATGGAATTTCTTTCAAGCAAACTATTTGCAACTTCTTTTACAATTCCATTGCTTGTTTTACTTTTTTCATAAAACAGGATTCGGAAGAATGAGTAAAGAGTGAGTAATTGCAGAATATTAAGAAATGCAGATTCCTGAAAATATAAATTTGAGGATATTTGTTTAAAGTTGTTACAAAATTTGGAGAATGTCTTGACCCTTTACTACTCTTCTCAAAATGGGAAAGTTTAAACAGAAAAGAAAGCTCAATGAAGATGAACACAAAAGATAATTCCCAAAATGCAATGCATTAAGCAGAATACGAAAATAATTATAAAGACCAAAAAGAGAATTATATTTTTCTCACAATTTTTCTAATATAGGGAGTATATGTACAGACAGAAATTCACAAAAGCCCCTGCATTTTCTGAAAACAAGCTTAGCTTAGCAATTTTACACCTTAATTAAGTTATATACAAGTTTCTTGGAGGGGTTTCATTTACTATACCCCAATAACAGAAAAAATGTGCTAGGTTTCATTTAATATACAACTAGATGGCGATGGGATGGGAACACAATGTTGAAGACCTCTTTCAGATTCTTGCAGCCTATGATTTTCATCTTCTCCAAACCCATACTTGCAAGAGATTTCTCGGCTGATTTGGGGACTATACATTTTTCATATCCTAATTTTGCCACCATACCAGCCCTTTTCTCCATTCCCGGTACCTATAATATTGCAGTAGGGAATAGAACCATAAAGTGTGAAAACAGAGACTTGCTAAACTAGAAACAAGAATCTACATACGGAGGCATGTGCCCTGACTGTGCAAGCATATATGTAATAATGTCGTGGAAAATCTCTTTGAATTTAGAGATTAGATCTGTGCTCACCATGTGAAGCTCACCACCAAGGCCAATTTCGCCTATGAATGCAATGCCATTAGGAATAGGGAGCCCCAAGAAACTGAATAAGCGAAGAAGGTTAGCTTTCATTTATTCAGGAAAAAGAAAAAGTATTTGCAGCATATAATAAACTAGAGAACCACAGAAACATGACTCAAAGCAAAATCAATCAAGATAATCTCTCATAAATCATGGTAGAAATGTAATGATGTCATAATTATAATGGGTGGGACAAAACAAAAATTACCAAAAGTTAAGAGAAAATGTATAAACCCATATATAGAGAGAACATAAGAATTAGTTGAAGAGGTAAGCGATGGACCAGCTACTCAAAACACATGCCTGCTACAAATTGCTGCTGCTACAGCAAGATCCCCAGCAGTCTCTTTCAAGGCCACCCCTCCAACAACATTTAGAAATAAGGCCTGGTGTAGAAAGATTTAAAAGAAAAAAAAATCAAATATAAAAGTAAACAAAAGAAGTAAAAATACAGTAGCCCATACAGTAAGTAGAAAATAACTACAACCACAAAGCTTATGGCATCCTCAAAATAAAGTACAGCCAATGAAGGGTCTATTAGGTATTTTCCATTGCTTACAAATACCATATATTTCGACATAAAAATCGCCAATGCATCTGGTGAATGTATGATTGTATGTATAACAATTTAGAAGTACCAATTTCAAAATATTTATTATGACTGCACATGGTGCACATATAGATCAAAAACAAAGGAAAAAATGAATAATAGAAGACCCTAATATGATAAAAGTCCCTTTTGAAATTGTGGGAGAAAAGAGTAAACAGTGGTAAGGAAATCATTTATGGAAGGATAAATAGTATGTTAAGGAACTTACGTTTTCTCGAAGCTCCAGACCAGCTTGCTCCATAAGAACCTATAATTCCAGAGAGAAATTGTCACTATTGCATGCTTTTAAATGCAATATGCTAAAGATTACTTGTTAGACAGAAGTATAAAATACCTTAAATCAATTTGGAAAAGTAACATCATCACAAATGAGTCCTAAACTTTTAAATTGTCCTAAAAAAGATGAGGAAATATGGAAATAACATTTTGAATACCAATTCCTGAAAATGAATACCAGGTTTTGTTGATTTTGGATCAATTTAGATATAAGGTATATTTAGCAGCGCTTTTTGTTTTCTGTTTCTTAAAACATGTTTTCAAGAATGTGTACAGAGCACAAGTTTCGTTTTCTAAATTCTGGTATCCATTTGTATAGCTGTAAGTTATAGTATAAGTTTTGAACGCTAAGCTTCGAGTATTTATATCTCGCCATGAAAGTTGATATATTTTTACTCAGTCACTTGAAAAGAAATTGCATGGGTTCATTCAAAAGAATCTCTGGTAAAGCAGAAAATGACGTTAACATGTTCTTGATAATCACTAATCTGGGTGTTCTGGCAAAAGTCTGAAAGCAGTCTCTACACATTGTTAGCTAAATAAGTTGTCTGCTGCAGATAACAGATGATTGTTTAGAGGGGGGAAAAAATAAAAATCTTTTGTAACCATGGAACCAAACATGCACCAATTTATGGTTTTTACTAATTCAAATATTTAAACCAAGTATGACAATAGTTAAACATTGCGTTAAATGTTTTGCCTGTATACTTCCTTAGTAACTAAATCGGGTATTTTGGTACTAAACTATTCAATCAATGCCTACGTGAAGCTTAATGTCTCAGAAATGGTAAGACATTCTTCAAAATAGCTTCCTCGATTCAGATAGGCCTTCATAGCCTGGACACTAAGAAATAGTTTAAGTGGTCTAGTCGTCATAATGCTAAATGCAGCCACTCAGCAGTCTTTCATCATTATAGCAACACAATTAAAGTAAAAGGTACGATGGACAACCACAATGCAAATAAAACTAGAAGAATAAAAGAAAACATCTGACAACTATAGCTATCTTATAAGAAACTATTAGAAACAGCAAATACGTAATCAGCAAAGACAGTGAAGCAAAACAATACCTTTTAAGAGAAAACTTCTTTTCAATAGGAAGTGAAACACAACAACTATGGCATGCTTGTGATGAAAGAACTTAAGTTAGCACTTACTGCAATAATCATGTCAGCTCTGCTTGCTTTGATACCATTGACATGTCTTGAAACTGTTGAGCCAGACACACATAAAGCCTACATAAAAATCCAGAAAGTCGATCAAACATTTAAGTGAGTAAAGGGAGCAAATGATGAAGTACATGCAAGGAAATTATAAGTCAGAATTTTTTTTTCAGAAATTTATTGTTCTAAATGTCAAATTATGAGGTCGCCAAAAAGAATACTAAACATTGGCTAACAAAGCAACAGGATAACCATAAAATCTGACATCTTAGCTCACTCAACTTTAGAAATTCCATCAAAAATTTCTAAACCTCCCAAAATAAAACTTATCTTAGATGGATATTCCACCCCTCGAAGCTGTTGGTATAACACACATCCAAATTGTTTACTTTTAACTCTGCAAGTCTAAATTACACGAAAGGACACATAGAAGTACACTAAAAGACAGCACCACAGAATACTAACAGCAGCTCTGCACCATACATACATAATCAGTAAAAAATAAAAATTGGAAAACATATAAACACAACATCAGTAACACAAACGAGTATAACTAACTACTTAAGTACATCAATTATAAGCCTTTTAGAATGTTTGATTATCCTTAATATAATGTTATAACATAATAGATATGTAAACTAGTTAGTTTACCAAATTCATTAAATTGGACTTGCCATTCTAAAACGTGTTATCAACAAGAATAGAAGCAAATGTGGAAAAAGCTAGCAATTTATAAAAACATTGGAAAGCACCTGAATTTCAGTAAGGAATGTCCGAGTACCATCCATAATAACAGCAACAGCAAGTCCAGCTAAAACATCAGAATCTGAGTGCTGCTCACTTAAAAACATCTGACTGGGGTTTGAAACAACTTGCAGTCCTAATTGAGACATTTCAAATACCCCAAGCTGAAAGTAAAGATAAATCCTCAACAATGGTCAATAAGATAATATTTTCTCCATATTGAGTAAGAAAATAAACTCCATCTTTGTTATGTTAATAACTTATCTGCATATACTAGCACCTGTTCGAACTGCCATCATATATAAAATCATTATATACCTCATCAATGGAACCAAAACGATTCTTCACAGCTCGAAGCAGACGATAAGATGAGCACTTTTCACCCTAAGATTAGCATTCAAAAACACAAACAATCAGAGATTTTTTTTCTTGGCATTGAGCAAAGTATGATTCATACAATAAGGACTTCCTGGCAATCAGCAAACAACTAGAATGAAAGGCATCAATAAAAGATAAATAATTCTTCGAAAAAACAGAGGGATGACAACAATAAAACCCACTCCCTTTAATTAATATTCAAAAATCTAATTTAAGGAAAAACAATCTGTTGTTTACATATATGGAGCCAATACAGAAAATTGCATTCATGCTAGCCTATAAAATCAACTATGAAGAAAAGAATATTGTTTTAAGATACAAACTTCCATATATAAGACAGCATCAACAATGTGCTCGAGAACACGAGGCCCAGCTATGTCACCAGATTTTGTCACATGCCCAGCCTGAATAAGCAGAAGAGAGGGAGAAAGTGAGAAAGGAGCAGAAACATAAGAGATCAGCCTATAATATTAACCATGTTCAACCCATGCAATTTGAACACAAAAATTACAGGTACAACATTCACATCAGGACCCAGAAATCAGCCATCAAGGTACCAAACCAATTATTTTAATGAAACAAAGCATAAACGTAAATCTAAAATTAAACAGAAACAAATCAAAAAATCAAAAGCCGAGAGATCATTACAAAAAAAATAAAATAAAAAATAAACTCACTGTAATTCCTTTGTAGATAAGTAAAAATAGAAATAATTTAGAGTTCCACATCAGCCACCAAATAAGGAACAGCTGATCTATAGATTCAACATTCAAGTAGCATATACTTAGAATTTAACAGAACACATTTCAAACACCTAGTATTATATTTTCCCATTAATTATGAAAGTGTTCTCATTCTATTAAAGTGAGTTTAAAAAGAATTCAATAAATTTAATGTGTTCTCACCAAAAGAATTGAGATGTTAGACTCCTTGGCAAAACGTAGCAAGGCCGAAGTACATTCCTTCACCTGTCATACATCAATGCAATGTTAATACTCAAAAGAAAATGCAATCACAAAACCACCCTATAAGATTACCCAAACATAATATAACGATGTCAGTTGTAGCGCTCATTAAGAACCCAAAACTACAAAATCTGCCATCCTTACATTCTTCTCATTTCTATTCAGAAATGCTAACAATTTGGGCTGCAGAGCAAGGTTAAAATTTGAATACAATGCAAAATTATTTCACAAATGAGAACATTTTACAGTTGTTATCAACTAGAAATATGTTGTTACAATTAAAGAATGCTTTGAACTATGTCATCTCAGACATCATCTCACAAAGATCATAACAGAAGCAGCATATAAGTCAAACATATTGAGGTAAAACATGCATTCAGACTTGGCAGGACTAGACTGTAAAAATCAACCTGCATGAGCCCTCCAGCGCTTCCAGTAACTTCCTTTAAATAAACTGTTTGAATTGAATCAATTATTAGCACCAGAGGGGAGAAGGGCCGAACTTTTTCTAATATGTCCTGAAATCAGAAAAAGATACCAATTATTTTGGGCATCCTCCATGATGCTCCAGATCCGAAAAACTACACATAATATTTGCATTCATGATAAAGCTAACAAATTTGGCAGCTGAGGAAAAGTATCAGCCAATCACACAGATAGCACTCACAGAATACCTAGTCCAATACTACTTTCTGCATAAGAAAAAAAATTATTTGATCATGACATGTATGACATAAACAAACTTTCTGAACTGAAAATCTTCTTGGCATCTGTTAGGATCTCATATTGGAAGGGAAAATGGTGGACATGTGGGTTATAAAGGCTTGGACACCCTTCTTTGGCAAGCCGGTTTTCTAAGGAGATTTCTACCCAAGCCCATGAAAAACCCATGGCCTAGCCCATTTGTTTGAGTTGTTGAGGTGGGTTCCTACCACTTTGTATCAGAGCATGATCCTGCACCCACGTGGACGTCGCCTATGTGGCAGATTAACCCACGACAGGCTGACCTTGGGCCTAAGCTGCTACCCCAAGAAATGGTATGGAGACCCGAGGGAAAGGGGATCCGCATAATCACCCAAGGGGTAAGGAGGCCGACTTGGATGTCAGTTGTAGAAGCGTGGTAGAATGTTAGGATCCCACATTGGAAGGGAAAGGGATGAGCATGTGGGTTATAAAGGCTTGGGCACCCTCTCTTGGCAAGCCGGTTTTCCAAGGAGAGTTCTACCCAGGCCCATGAAAGACCCATGACCTAGCTCATTTGTTTGGGTTGTTGAGGTGGGTTCCTATCAGCATCCAACAAATTAGAAGATCATGACATGTATTACATAAACAAACATTCTTAAACAAAAATCTTCATTGCACCCAATTATAACGAATATTTTGGTGCAAGTACAAGTGAATTTAACTAATTGCAAAGAAATAAGTTGATTTTACGTTGATACAGAAATCAGCAAAGGAGGTATGGTGAATAGGAAGAAATGATTTCTCCTTATCCCTCACTACACATTCATGTTAACACATAATCAAAACAATACAAAAAGGCAAATTTTCAAAATCGAGTTTAATAATCATAATAATTATAATAGTGTTAAGCATAATACGTAGTTGTGTAGAGGAAAATATGAGAAAGGTCAGCCACAAGAAAAATTGGCATAAAAACTGGGACCTCCACATCGGTACTGGAATTAGACCTGGCAAAACGGGTGGGTGGGCCGGGTACGGTACGGGTAAAACGGGTACGGGTCTTATACGGGTGAATATATATTGGTCCAATATTTTGGACCCATGCCCTACCCTATACGGGTACGGGTGGACCCGCGGGTGGACCGTTTTTTCTCTCTCCAGCTTTCAGTTTTGACAGTTTCACCCCTAACAGTTTTCAATTGTGACAATTACACCCCAAAATTCCTGCAGTTTTAATTTTTTACATTTACACCCCCTAAATCAACTACTCTAAATTCAATTCAATTAAGAATATAAACAAATATGAACCAAAAAAAAAACAAATAACACATAAACAAACAATAACATATAATACAAAACTACAAATACCAACCAAAACAAACAAATACAAAATCACTAATACACAATTACACATAAACAAACCAAATAAGTCAATAAACTATAAATATTTGTTATATCATTTCTCATCCCAAATTGCATATAGTTTTCAACTGCATTTAATATCCATCTGATGACCCAAAAATGGTAGCTTCATGAAAAAATTACATATTAGTTATCATTTCTTTAGTACAGGTGATTTATTGGCCACACTGTCAACTTCTTTGGTGGCTCATAGCCTACTTAGATTCAAATTGTTATGAGTAGCGATCATGTCCATCAACCTTATTGATCCCTCTTAAGTTGAACAATCACTGAGAAGTAATTCTTACGAGCTATTGTTTCTGGCTTTAAGCTTCAAAATGGCTTGAATCTACATGACTTTCTGAATAAAGCAGAAGCTTTGTGTGTTCTGCTAAAGTTGGTTATCAACTCTTCCTCCTGTTCGACACTGAGATAGCAGCAGTGTGGTTTCAAGCGTTTCTTCAACATCTGCTACCAGTAATCTCCACAGGAGCAAATTCCATCTTGAAAATGATGATACCGGATAGGGTCTCTGATCACAATAGTTCGATGCTCCATCTTTGCTGTGAGTTTTGCAAAGATATGACAGTCGCCGCATATCCTGATATTTTTCCTGATCCTGATGGTCTTACCCCTTGACAAGCTCATCAAACCGAAAATAATTGCCAGTTTTTCACTGTGGTATCGAATTGAGTCTTCTTTCTACTCTCCTTCAAGATCGTGCAAAACAAAATTTGTGTCTGGCACATAACCCATTGCTACTAATTTGTGAATTAACTGGTTGAGCTCCCTATTGATTTCATCTATCTTGGGATGTGAGCTATCTCCAAAAATGAAAGCATGAATCTGCTTATTTACTTCAATCCAGCTGCACCCTGGTTCTTTCCTCACTCCCCTGTCTCTCATGGTCTTCCTAACTTCTGCTACGTCGTCCCATCTTTGCGAATTTGCATAAATGTTAGATTACAGTATGTATGTTCCTGCATCTTGTAAAGATATTCCTAAAGTATCCTCTATGATCAGATCAAGTAAAGATATTCCTCAGTAAAGATATATATATCTGACTTGTATTTATAAATAATATAGCTGAATAATATCTATTGAATTCCCTCTATCAATCATGTTCCCTGTATTCCTCTTTTAGACTACAAAATGATTAATTACATGTTTATAGTTATGTTAACTCTGTAGCTTTTCCCAACTATTAATTAACAGTAAGTTGATTGAATGATGAATTATTGTTCTGGGTTCCAACTTACCACGTTTTAAACACAGTAGAAAATGCACCTTTAAATCCTAAAGGTTTAAACCCATAAAGAGAACACATAAACAAGATCCATTGCTATTCTACTCTTTCCAATTCATTTCCATAACTTTCCTCCACTTTCTAAGTAACCAAACAACAAAATTTAAAACCAAGCACAAACTGAAACATAAAACTATACCAAACCATAAGGGTCCATCAAACTGTACCAAACCAAACATAAGCAACTATGAAAGAAACTCAAACAATTCTTCCTAAAAACTCTTCATTCGAATAAAAATTCATTCGCTTCCCAAAAAAATAAAAAAAAAAAAATAATCGAAAATGATTTGTTTTTGAAGAAACCTGTTTTTGCCGAACTTCGCTTCTGATCTCTCTCTGAGCGACTGAGCCTCTATTTCGTTACCGAAGTGACGAAGTGATGAATATTAATCTAAGAAGACTGATGAGGCGATGACTGATGAGAGACTGATGAGTGATGACGAAGTGACGATGCGGCCGCGATCTGAGACTGAGAGTCGAGAGATCAGAGATGAGATGGATTCGTGATGATTGTGACTCCGTGAGAGGGAGGCGTCACCGCGTCAGGCGTGAGAGGGAGGCGTGAGAGGCAGGCGTGAGAGGGAGGCGTGAGATACTGAGATGGATTCGAATAAAGGACTTTAAGTTTTAGGGATTCTTCAAAAGAATCAAAACAGAATAGAAGGGTTATACGGGTGCCCGCGGGTGCCCGCTGGTTCACCCGTATGACCCGTAATTTATTTGATCGGGTACGGGTACGGGTCAAATAAAAATGGGTTTAGTTTATTGAACCCATACCCTATATTTTTTACCCGGGTACGGACCGACCCGCGGGTCCATACCCGTTTTGCCAGGTCTAACTGGAATACAAGAAAAGTTCCTCCGTTCCAATCTCCATCCGATCAGCTGCATTTCCAATTTGCTCAACAGTCTGTCACAATGAGGAAACAAATGGAAACAAGTATTACTCTAAAGTCTTAAAGGTCTCTTGATGTCTGCATATCCATAATGAAACCACAATTGCAACTTTTAATGACAAAAGAGAGCATGATTTCCTGATCCAGATGCTAAATAGGCTTCCAAAAACTAACCGAGAATCAAATAACACAAGATCTACCATCTGATGAAGTTTTCAGCAAACTATCAGTTAGATATTCACGAAACACTAAAAATACTATAAATCATTTCAAAAGAGTGAACATAAATATGTTTATATGTTTGAAAATTTAAACCGTGCAAAAGACAATCTCATCAAAGGTCCTACAAAAGTAAAAGCTATTTATTTATTTATTCATTTAATGACTAACTAAAAGACCCATAAGAAACAAAGAAAAGCCTAAGCCTAAAAGGGTGGTCAACCCTCAGAACTTTAGTTCTCTCGGTGGTCAAGTGGTCATCTAGTCCACTTTTGTAAAACACACTTCCGCTATTAATTAAAAAAAAAAAATCTATTATTTTTGTATATATAGAAAAAAATCAAACAAAATATGTGTGTGTGTGTGTGTGTGTGTGTGTGTGTATGTGTATACATATATATATATGTAATGTATATGTACAGGTATGTATGTATATGTATCTATTTATGTATGTGTATATATATGTATATGTATATATGTATGTATGTGTATATGTATACACATACATATGTGTGTATATGTATTACATATGTATATGTATGTATGTATGTATGTATGTATGTATATGTATATATGTATCTATGTGTATATGCATATATGTATGCATGTGTATATGTATGTATATATATGTATATACGTATGTATGTATATGTATATGTATATGTATGTGTGTATATCTGTGTATATATCTATATATATGTATACCTATGTACATGTATATGTATATGTATATGTATATGTATGTATATGTAAATATGTATATGTATATGTATATGTATGTGTGTATATCTGTGTATATATCTATATATATGTATGCCTATGTATATGTATTACATATGTATATGTGTTTATATATCTATATATAAATATATACATATGTATACATATACACATATATACATTTATACATATACACATACATACATAAATACATATACATATCCATATGTATGCATATACACATACATACATATATGTATATGCATAAATGTATATATGTATATGTATATATAATATACAAAGAAACACATACACAAAATAATTAGACAGCTGGAAAATGTATACCACGTGACATAGTCATGCTTTGAAAGAAAAGACAACTATCAACATGAAAACACTAACCTCTTCACCAGAAACATACACAACCGGAGCACGTTCACCAACATCACGGCCTTCAGCTATTGCTGCAGCCATCTGCCAGTTCAAATAAAATTGACATGAAAAGAAAGCTATACTACACAAAATTGAATCATGCAAAAATTCAAGGAATTAAATTCCTCAAAATTTTGATAGAGCATTCATATGTTTGTCTATAGAGTGAAGATCCATGAGACAAAATTTAAACCTTGATGGAATTACATACCTGCAACAACATTGTGCTCTTGCCAACACCAGGAGCTCCACCAACCACAACCAAAGAGCCTGTAAACCAGCAATCATAAACATGAAAAAATAAATTTTGAAATATCCAATTTACAGGGAAGAAAAATTCCTAAGGCACGAAGGTCAGTCTTTTAACAAGCTGATGCTGGAAATAGAAGGATTCATGCTGTCAGCCAGAATAGAATAGTGAGGTATTACAATGGATATTTCTTTGAACACAATGCAACTTTTTGTCGGCTAAAACTGAATTTCTAGAACAGAGGCCACATGGGTAGTAAATCTGACAAGAGCATGCAAAGGGAGGGAAGGATGGAGGGAGGTATAGTATCTAATGCTATTCAAGGCCCAAATAAGATTTCAAAAGGTTGGCTTCCAATTCTAACTAGTTAAATAGAAAAAAATTATTATATCTCCAATAACCACTATCAAATAAATTCAGCATCAACAAAATAAGAAAACAAAGAATTTAATAACTCCAAGCAATTAACCAAAGTAAGGAATAGAAACAGTCAAATGAAACAAACCTGGTACAAGACCACCGCCAAGCACCCTAGCAACTTCATTCCCGAAGGGTCCAGACCTAATATCAAGAGACACGAACCAAAATGAAAATGACAAGTACCTTTTATTATAAGAATCTCAGGTTAAACTTTGCTTAATATAACTACTTGTAAAGGCACATTTCACATGGAAAAAGCATTTACAAGTCCATTATCTCAATTTTCTTACAAGGAAGTCAGTCCCCTCAACGTCTACCCAATTGACCACAGTAATCACATCTGTTCATCCATACTAAATAATCTCAAACTAAAACTTACCCAATGAATAAGAAGAACCCCCAAATGGTTCCTAATCTTCCGTCCACTCACTCCACTTGACCCTACCATACCTCATAGATTTCTTTGTTACTAAAGGTTGCAATATCTTACACTTGTTCCAAATTTGCGACCTGGGTCACATGCAAGTAAGACCAAGGGATTTTTAGGTATCACTAAGCAGAGGAGTGCTAGCAAAAGTTGGTTAAGTCACTCTCTATAACACTCCACTCCATGTACGTGATATTTATGTAGATTGACAAAACTAAACAAGACATATGGCATCACTCAGGAAGTGAATTTAACTCATGTTCACATTTCTCTAAGGAAAACATTAATGGGATAAAATTTAAAACTTTTAAAACAAAAGTAAAACCAATTGTATCACTTCAAATATTCACTGCTTACAGAGGAATTATCCGATTCAACTGACTAATTCCCTTGTTCACATCTCGCAAACGCTTTGGCTGCACCTGTTCTGGCTTCTGCGGCTCCACCACGTGTCCATTTCCATTATCCCCTTCAGAAAACCTCTTCATCGTCCCCACCCTCTCACACGACCGACGCGTCCACCACCACTGCCCGTCCTTGTGGCCACAGTCGGCACAAACACAACTTACCCTATTGCCCTTCCCTTTCTTCTTATTTCCCGTTATGTCCCCAGCGCCTAAACTGCCTTTCTTCTTCATGTGGGGTTTCTCTAAATCTCCTGAACTTTGACTTCTTAACTTCCCATAAACCCTCTCCCGCTCCAAATCATCACCAACACTCGACTCTGGCACCGGGACGGGCTCCGCCTCTCGAGCTTCTTCACTGCCTTCAACCGTCATTTTGGTAACCAGACCGGAAATGACAGGATCATAAATAGGCCATACATAAGGGGGATTTTGGGTTTTGGGTGGATGGCTGGAGTCGGGTTCGGAGCAGAGACGAGGTTGTACGGAGTGGATTTGGCGGAAAAATTGAGGAAATTCGCGAGAAAAAGAGTGGGTTGGTTTGAGGAGTGGGAGAAGAAGTTTAGGAGAGTGGAAGCATCTGAGAGCTGATTTCATTTCTGGGAATTGCATGTGAAGAAACCGCGAAAGTTTTCAAAAGGAGCGCATATATATGTAAAATGAAATGTGCGGTATCGTCGTTTGCCTGGAGGACTAATAGACGACAAGTAATATTGTTATAAACGCTAGAAACTAATGTCGGTCATATCCATATCTTTGTCTAAAGGCCCTAAATGGACTGTGTATCTATTCTATTAAAAATAGGCCGAACGACTAAATACCTGCAAGCGTGGGAACTTAGGCTGGCCAGTTTCTGGCCAGTTCATAAGCTTATGATCTTAAGCTGTAGATTAAGATGTATCCCAACACCCAGAACTTGCCATTAACACCCACAGAACTAGCCAGAAACAACATATCCAATACTGATGACTCAACGTTTCTACTGGGATGAGGATCACTCTCACCAAAACCAGGAATATCATAAGTCAACAAGCAAATACCAAACTCTTCCAGAAGTGAAGTCTTAAGTCCACGTATTCCTGATCAAGAAAGGATACAACAAAACAAATAAAAACTTTACAAATGTATGTAAACTATGCATACCCAAGGTTTGTTAAAACGATAAGTTGGTACCCAAAAGGTTTTAAAATAACAAATAGGTACCTTCCGTCATGTTCTGTTAGTGATTTTCATTTGATAATAGTGAAAAGACTAAAATGCCCTTAAAAGTTTAATATTTTTAGATTTTTATAAATTTAAAAATTTCTAAAAAACCCCCTAGGTTTGCTAATTTGACTAAATACCCCAATATATAAAAATTTTATAAAATAAAAAAAACACCCCCGCCACCCGCAGTGCCAGATTCCGGCCACCACCGCCGGAATCTGGCTGGAAAATTGCATTACGACACAGACCCATCGGATCTGTGTCGTAACGCGTAGATCTTTCATTTTCTGGCAAGATCCGTGGCTGATCTGGCCGGAAAAGGCCAGATCTACGGTCATATCTGGCCGTCGAGACCGGAAACTTGCCGGAAAATTGTGTTACGACACAGACCCATCGGATCTGTGTCGTAACACGTCGATCTGGCATTTTTGGCCAGATCCGTGGAGGATTTGGCCGGAAAAGGCCAGATCTGGCCGTCGAGGCCGAAAAAGGCCAGACGTAGATCTAGCCTTTTCCTGCCAGATCGGCAGTGTGTTACGACACAGATCCAACGGGTCTGTGTCGTAACACAATTTTTCGGCCAGATTCCGGCGGTGGTGGCCGGAATCTGGCACTGTGGGTGGCGGGGGTGTTTTTGTTATTTTATAAAATTTGTATATATTGGGGTATTTAGTCAAATTAGCAAACCTAGGGGGTTTTTTAGAAATTTTTAAATTTATAAAAAACTAAAAATTAAACTTTCAAGGGCATTTGAGTCTTTTCACTATTATCTAACGAAAATCACTAACAGAATATGACGAAAGGTACTCATTTGTCGTTTCAAAACCTTTTGGGTACCAACTTGTCGTTTTGACAAATATTGGGTATGTATAAGTCGTTCTCCCTTAAAAATATGACTAAAGGGATAAGTCGGTCACGTCGAAAGCTAATAACAGAGGAATTATACTACACCAATAATCATTTCTCACAAACTTTATCTCATAATTTTGATGTAACAGTTTACAATTGATCAGTTCATAATGAGTCTCACATGAATCCTAATAATTAATTGTAGAACAATTACGAATTATCACACCAAAGTTGTGAGAAAGAGTTATTAGTGTAGTATTACTCATCACAAAGTTGTCGTATATTGTCAGTTATGATTAACAAAGATTAAGATCAAAACACTCAGCTAGCTGCAGTATATTTTGATCATCTTCCAAAATGAGTTTGTTCAGTTGGCATGATATTCATTTGGTTTAATATTATATCCCTATTTTATTCTACTATTATATCCTAAAAACTCAAAAATGTATTTGTTTAAATATTCTCAAAATCCTATTATGTTTTATTCATCTTACAAAATATTAATAATTACCTTTCTCGTAAAAATAACCAAATTTTTACTTTTTTTTTTAATACTATTCTAAAAATCATCAAATAATGAACCAAATGAAGAAATCTGGCGCTGTATACATCAGAGTTACAACTGGAACATGACCGATCTTCAGTAGTTGGTGTCACTTTTCCCAGCTCTTTCCTCCACTTCAACTTCCTCAAAAAGTGTTTAACCAACATAACCGCTATACAGAAGAACACAGACCCCATAATGGCGCTGCAAATGGACAATAAGAGTCTAAGACCTCAAATGTCCATCTATTCCCCTGGCGGGCCTGGCCATATGTGGCATGATCACCCATGTGGCTGCAACAGAAGTGGTTGACATGAATGCAACCGCCAAGAGTTTCATAAGAGGTTTTCTCCCAAAAGGGATGATGCTAAGTAGAAACAATCACTTATAAGCTCTCATATGAAAATAAAAATGTTTGACTTTTTTAATCTTTCTCTATGAGCTATAAATTAAAAACGAGCTATAAATTAAAAACGAATAGAAATACAAAACCAAAACAGAGTCCTGTGAGATACATTAAACAGAGGGCACCCACGAAGAAATCATACTCAGAAAGAGAATAATTTCTCCATTAAGAAAAACTTCACCTTCGCTTCCATTTTCAGAATCAACTGGAAGTTTCTGAAGCTTTGGACACTTCTTTATTCTAATTTCCTCCAAATTTATGAACGCCAAGGTTTTCTGATAAATGTTTACCAGCTTTTGAACATACTCAACACATGTAACATTTGAAAACTAGATACATATCAGTTGTGGAAATGCAGATAGAGAAGGTGTGCGATCCAAGTTCAAACACTTTTGAGATTTTTCGAGGTCTTTAACTCCATTGGCAACGATTTTATGGCCGTGCATGAAAGGTTGAGACATTGTAGAGAGACCAGTTTTGATATTTCTAAAGGGTAATCTCTGTTGTAAATTTAGCCTAATTAAACAATCCTAAAGTCTAATCAAGCAAACACAAACGAAATCAAAGAACAACACAATTTTACTGTGGTTCACTTGTTCGAGATTGAATAAACTATATCCACGTTGAGCTCCAGAATACGGAGACCCGTTACCCCAGTATTAACACCTCAAGATTATAGATTACAACCTTGATTTAACACTCATAGTATCAATCTCACTCGCTAAAACACTCACAGCCCCTTTACACTGCAAATCTGAAATCCTAGAGAAACGACTCTATCCTTGAAGGAAACCCAACCTCTAACAAGATTTATGCCTAGATTTACAAAGAAGATTAAACTAGAATGAAACCCTAGCAAAGAGATTTTATTGCAATAATAGAGAAGAGAGAGAGAGAGAGAGAGAGAACAAATTGGGAATTTGCCTTCTTTTATAGCGTTGACCAGTTGGGATTGCAAGAGCTTTCACAAAATGGTAGCGTGTCACTTAAATGGAAAAACGGCACCGTAGGCTTCACACATTTAACAATCTCCACCTTGAAGCCTTTAGTCATCCCTCCTGGCAGTATCCTCTTCAGTGCAGCAAGTATCTTCCATACTCCTTCTTAGCTCTAATGGTTTACCTTACATGCAATAAGATCAAGCAGTGCTTGAACGTTGCAAGTGTCACTACCTTGGTTCCCATGTTTGCTAGGTTATCTTCAGTAGGTATCTTCATCAGATTCGATTCCCCTCTTGAGATCAAGTCCCTTACAAAATGATACCTTACATCTACATGTTTAGTCCTCTCCTGGCATACCCGATTT